GTCCTCAATTGATTTGAGGACGTTATTATCTTTAAATTTCTTTCATCAAAAGTATTATAATATACATTAGTTTTCTATATTCCAATTGTGTGGGTTGTGTCAAAAGTATTCTTGAGTCAACTAAAGGTTTATGTTGAGATTTAGTGTTTTCGATTGTTTTATATGAAAGATGTTTGTCACACCCCTTTTTCGCGCGGCGGCGTAAGGGTTTTCCAATTTAAATGACGTTATTAATTAAGGGATTATTTTAATTTTTTCAGATTCGCCACTTGGAATTGAGTTATGGTGTTCCAAGTCACCTTTTTTGTTTAACCCCTAATCAAAAGGAAATAACTCTTTGTTTGGTCTGTGAATGAGTTCGGGTAAGGAATTATGTTGACCGAGGGGAAGGTATTAGGCATCCCTCGAGTCCGGTGGTTCTAGCACAGTCGCTTTATGTATTTTATGACTTAAACTAATTATTTAAAAATTCTATGGTTAAAACAAATGTATTTATCTTCATTCATTAATTTATTTAAATATATTAAAAACTACCTTATTTTATTAATCTATGCCCATTAATTAAAATATATATAAGCATATAAATTATATCAAACAAAGCAGAATAAAAAAAAGATATTCTTTATTTTTACTTTTTCGTTTGTTACTATGTTTTTTACACTATTTTTTTCTTTTACCTTCTCATCTTTTACTATTATTATTATTTTATTGTTATTATTATTTTTTATACTTTCAAGGTTTTTTATTTTTTATTCAACCTTATTTTTTTGTTTGGACAAAGAAACTTTTAAAAAAAATAAAAATAATTCTTTCCTCTTCAATTGCATATCTTTTTTCTTATTATTTTTATACTTCTTTTTCTATTATTTATTTTTATCTTTTCTCTTTTCCCCTTTTTTATTATGTTCTTTCTCACATTTTGTTTTTTTAACTTTTTATTTATTTTCTTTTTATTATTATTATTATTATATTTTTTTTCCATTTTTATTCGATTTTTTTTACGTCACTAACATTAAACGAAAATTCCACTAACTAAAATTAACATATTTACATAATAGCTTACACATGTTATCATTACAAACTAAATATTAAAAATTAAATGACTTGGACAATAATTTTACTTAAATATAAAATAAACTATGGGTTATTTTAATATAAAATAAATCATGGTTTGTTATAATAATTTCATACTAAATATAACTATACAAAGGATCTAAACATAAAGTTGATATGAACACTTGAACATACTTGATATAACAACATCAATAAATATTAATGGTTTAAATACATGCAAAATTTAACAACTTTAATATATATTGCACTTCATTCTCATATTATCATGACATAAAACTAATACAAAATCAAAATTGGTATTACCTATTGTGGAAATTATTCCACGAAAAGAAAGAATTTAGGAACCACGAACTTGAATATTCGAACTCCACTATTTTTAGTTGTGTTTCTCTTTGTGCGTGTGTTCTTTGGAAAAAAAATTCTTTGTTGTTTCTTCTCCCTTTTTTTTACTTACAGATTTTTTTCCCTCCTTCTCTTTCTTTCTGTTCTTTTTTCCTCTCGTGTGTTTTTCTCTTTTATCTTCTGTTTGTTTTTTCCTTTCTTTTTTTTTTTTACCTTTCTGATTTCTTTTTTTTTTCTAAGTTGGGAAAAAAAGTATATCGTAGTAGTAGTGTGTGTGTCGTGTGGTGTAAATGGGTAAAGTGGGGGTAATGGGGAGTGAATCGTGGGTCATTTTTTGTTTTTTTTAATATATTAAATATATATATAAAAATGATAATTATATAATTATTAATTGTTTTGAGTAAATAAATAAATAAATAAAGCTAAATGGGTAATTAAAACAAAAAAGACATAATTAAGAAATATTAGTTTATTTAAATAATATATGTTATATATATATATATATATATATATATATATATATATATATATGTATATATATATATGTATGTATATATATATATATCCTTTTTTTTATCAATCAAAATAAACTTATCTAATAAAAAATATATTTATGTGGTTTATACTTATATCTTTTAAATAAACTTAATGAAAATATTAAAAGTCAAAATATATTTAATTTATATTGATAAAATTATTTATGCTCTAAACATTGGTGTTAAACTTAAATTCTGTCAAAAATTACGTGTCTATAGTTTGCCCCTCATTGACTTGAAACACGAGGAGTTTTTCTGACAAACAACTAGACAAAGTGAAAAGTTTTGACCGAACTCTTATTTGAAACATCAAAATTTGTGCGACTGAGTCCTTGTTTGGACATCCTACATATCCCGGGTGATAAGGGAATCAGGCCACTTGTAGTTCGAGGAGATAAAGTGATGAGTTGAAAGTTAAGTGAGGTTCCATCGAAGCTCCAGATCTCGGCTCTTGTCCTTGCATAAAACATGAAAACTATTAGTCAAAAGAAAAACATATGTACAAACTTCTATCCACGCAGCTTTTTTTGAATCTTCACTTGAATTTTGACTTTAAGATATCACCTTGATTTTTCAGTGAGTATCTTAGCTTTGAATTGGAATGGAGGCTGAACTTGCCAATTAGACGGAACTTTTGACATTCTTCAAAATGAGAGCTTGAAAAATGCTCTTGAATGAATGCGTGTTTTCTTGATCAAAAGTTGACTAGTAAAAGATGTGTGGAAATCAGGCTTCTACATGCATTAAAGAAGCTAATTCTAATCATCATGGAATTTATTATTCTAAAAAATTTGAAACTTTGTTCTTGAATTTCAAATCCTGGTCTCGGTTGAGAAAACCTGAGAACAATCACAAACAAAAAAAAAATTTTGCCCCAGTTTTCAGCGGGAAATTTTTTTGTGAGTTATTCGCAAATATATATATAAAACATAAATTTTTGCTAGGAAGTGTTTATTGCAGGAGAAAATAAAACTAAAAATCTAGACAAGAAAGTGTTAATCTTATGAGAAAGTAATCTTATCCCATTATTCAGGAGAGTCCTACTAGTCCCATTATCTAGGAGGGTCCTGCTAGTCCCATTATCTAGGAGGGTCCTGCTAGTCCCATTATCCAGGAGGGTCCTGCTAATCCCATTATCCAGGAGGGTCCTGCTAATCCCATTATCCAGGGGGGTCCAGCTAGTCCCATTATCCAAAGGGGGTCCTGCTAGTCCCATTATCCAGGAGGGTCCTGCTAATCCCATTATGCAGGAAGGGTCCTGCTAGTCCCATTATCCAGGAGGGTCCTGCTAATCCCATTATCCAGGAGGGTCCTGCTAGTCCCATTATCTAGGGGAGTCCTGCTAATCCCATTATCCAGGAGGTTCCTGCTAATCCCATTATCCAGGTGGGTCCTGCTAATCTCATTATCAAGGAGGGTCCTGCTAATCCCATTATCAAGGAGGGTCCTGCTAATCCCATTATCCAGGGGGGTCCTGCTTGCTAATCTCATTATCCAGGAGGGTCTTGCTAGTTCCATTATCTAGGAGGGTCCTGCTAATACCATTATCAAGCAGGAACTTGCTAGTCCCATTATCCAGGAGGGTCCTTCTAATAAAATTTTCAACAAACTAATAATACCAACGAAACATTGTGAATGCTATCTTCATTATTTGGAAGTTCCTTCAAGGAGAAATAATAATAATAAAAAATAATAATAATAAATAAATAAATAAATAAAATAAATATTCCAAAATTAAAGTAATTGCTATTTTGATATATATATTAGCCAACTTTCATATAATATTTCACAAGTCTTTATTGTAGGGTTTCCATTTTGCTCGTTGCAGACTAGGTTGAACATCTAGGTTCCTCGAATCCTCAATCTTTAAAAAACTTGTGTCCCTGCTTTAACAAAGAAAATATTTGAGTTTGAAAAGGTGGTGGTCGGTTTGTGGTTACACATTCCGACAAGGACCGCTCAAATACTTAAGACGCTTTGGTTGTTTCCAATGATCAATACTTCTTAATGATTGATAATACTTTCATCCAAATTTGCTTATTTTGGGACCATAAATCCAATGTCTTTATCTCACAACACTCATTGTTTAGCCTTCATAGGATCAGAGAATTTTTGAATTCAACACTTGAAGACAAATTAACTCAGTAGCCTGATGCTTTTCCTAGTACCGTTTAGAGACTTGGTAGCGAGTCTTGAAATTCCTTCCTAGTTTTTTTTTGCAAAGACTTGACTCAAATACATACCAAAAAATTGACGAAAGAAGTATAATAAAATTACGAACTATATGAGAATAAAAGAAAATATGCGATGAAGACTTTTTTTTCGTAAGAGGAAGAAAGAAAAACTTATCTGAGTGTGGGAGCCGAGTCTACTGATCATGCCATGCAATTTGAACTGATTTCCAGACTTGGCTATCCAATCTATTCATCAACCATTATTGATTATTCAATCTATATGTGAAATCGAAACACTTTTATAGACTTTGTGATATTCACGAATGTCTTTGCCGCTAAAACTCAATCATGTTAATTGCTCTATCTCACGTCTGCCTTATGGTACATGTGAGAATTTTCAGCAATAAGACTTCTTATATTCAACTCCTTTTCGCTTTACGGTACCCCCTTAGGGTTTTCACCAATAAGAATCTCTCATTTTTATTTCTTTTTACTCACATTTGTCTTATGGTGCCCATTAAGGATTTTTACCTACCCTTAACCAACTTATTCTCGACATATCAAGGGTTGATGCAAAGACTTCTTTTAGATGATGGGGATTATTTTGAGCTTTGAAATGAGAGACTGAATGAATAAACAAATGAATTTTGCCCAAGTATATTACAATATGAATTTTTGGATTTGTATTTGGTTGAAATAAACCAAATATTAGGGCTGCCTACGTATCTTGCCGAGACAAGAATCAGGTCAAACGTAGTTCAGGCCATTTGTTTTTTTTTTAAAAGTCAGGGACACCGCATAACCAAGAGATCCCATTGAATCAACCCTTGAAATGTCGAGCACAAACATACGGGTTTCTAATGTCGAAACTCAATCATATGTGATATCTTTTCACAGCATCAGTATTGATGACCGTTTTTGTCACTTTGCCTTCTATATCTTCTAAGTAAAGAGCACCATTGGGTAATACCCTTTTAACAACAAATGATCCTCTCCAATTTGGAGAAAATTTGCTTTTGGTTTCAGCATGATGTGGACAAATGCGTCTCAACACTAATTGACCCTCTTCAAAATGTCCGGGACGCACCTTATTGTTATATGCTCGTGGCATTCTTTTCTGATATAATTGTCCATGACATACTGATGTAAGACGCTTCTCATCAATCAAACTTAATTGCTCTAACCGAGTTTTGATCCACTCATCATCATGAATTTCAGCCTCCACAACCATTCGTAAAGATGGGATTTCAATCTCTGCAGGTATAACTGCCTCAGTCCCGTATACCAGTGAATATGGGGTAGCGCCCACTGACGTACGGACTGTAGTGCGATAACCCAACAATGCAAAAGAAACTTTTCATGCTATTGTCGAGAACATTGCACCATCTTATGAAGTATCTTTTTTTAAATTTTTGTTAGAAGCTTCTACAATCCCGTTGTCCTTTGGGCGATACGGAGTCGAATTTCGATGCTCAATCTTAAATTGGTAGCATACTTCTTGCATTAAGTGGCTGTTGAGATTTGCGGCGTTATTAGTTATAATCACCTTTGGAATACCAAACCGAAAGATGAGGTTGAAATGGATGAAATCCACCATGACCTTCTTCGTCACTAACTTGAAAGTTACTGCTTCCACCCACTTTGTAAAATAATCAATAGCTACAAAGATGAACCTCTGACCATTCGATGCTTTTTGTTCTATCGGTCCAATCACATCCATTCCCCATGCCATGAAAGGCCATGGAGAAGCATGCAACTCAGAAGGGGGAGAATGTATTAAATCACCGTGTATTTGACATCAATGACATTTACAACAAATCGAATGGAATCCCGCTCCATGGTGAGCCAATAATATCTTGCTCGAAGTATCTTCTTGGCTAGAACATATCCATTCATATGAGGTCCAAAAACTCCTGAGTGTACTTTAATCATGATTGTGGAAGCCTCTTGAGCATTTACACACCTTAGAAGACCTAAATTGGGTTTCTTCTTGTACAGTATGCCTGCGCTTAAGAAAAAACCCCTAGCTATTCGTCGAATATTCCTTTTTTGATTACTAGTTACATCTGACGGACATTCTCCAGATTAAAGATATGTTTTGATATCATGAAAACAAGATTTACCATCAAATTCCTCCTCAATCATGTTGCAATAAGCATGTTGATCATGAATTTGTATGCATAAAGGGTCAATATGGGAGTCATTAGGGTGTTGGAGTATCGAAGATAAAGTGGCCAATGCATCTGCAATTTCGTTGTGCATTCTGGGAATGTGTCTAAACATTATAGACACAAATCATTGACAAAGACCTTGTAAACAATTTTGATATGGTATGAGCTTTGGGTCTCGAGTTTCCCATTCTCCTTGAATTTGATGAACTAGTAAGTTTTAGTCTCCTAACACTAACAATTCTTGGATGCCCATGTCAACAACTAACCTCAGACCCAAAATGCACGCTTCTTACTTAGACATATTATTAGTACAATAGAATCTAAGTTGGGATGATATAGGGTAATATTCCCCTGATTCAGACATAAGAACCGCTCCTATTCCAACTCCTTTCCTGTTAGAGGCACCATCAAAAAATAACTTCCAACCTTGATCGTTATTGTGAATAACTTCATCGATACAAGATATCTCTTCATCTGGAAAATAGGTTTAAAGTGGTTTATATTCTTCATCAATAGGGTTCTCTGCCAAATGATCTGCCAATGCTTGAGCTTTCATTGCGGTCCGCGTTATAAAGATAATATCAAACTCTTTGAGCAATATTTTCCATTTTGCAAGCCTGGCTATGGGCTTGGGCTTTTGAAAAATATATTTCAACGGATCCATACGAGAGATGAGATAAGTAGTGTAAGATGAAAGATAATGTTTCAACTTCTGTGCTACCCAAGATAGGGCACAACACATTCTTTGAAGAAGGGTGTACTTTGCTTCGTAAACGGTAAACTTCTTGCTAAGGTAATACATGGCCCGCTTTTTCATCCCTGTGTCATCATGCTCATCCAGTACACAACCAAAAGAATTATCCAGTAATGACATATACAATATCAAAGGTCTTCCCGGCTCGGGGGGAACCAACACAGGGGGATTCGACAGGTAATTCTTAATTCTTTCAAAAGCTTCTCAACATTCTTTGGTCCACTCGACTGTGGCATTCTGTTTCAACAACATAAAGATAGGCTCACAAGTTGTTGTGAGTTGAGCAATGAATCTGCTGGTGTAGTTTAACCTTCCTAGAAGGCTCATAACCTCAGTTTTGTTCTTTGGAGGTGGCAATTCTTGAATTGCTTTTATTTTTGAAGGATCCAACTCGATACCTCTTCGACTGACTATAAACCCCAAAAGCTTCCCCGATGGTACTCCAAATAAACATTTACAGGATTAAGCTTGACATTAGACTTGCGGAGCCTTTCGAAGAATCTCCTTAAGTCTTTCACATGATTTGACTGTTTTTTAGATTTAATGATAACATCATCCACATAAACTTCGATTTCTCTATGCATCATATCGTGAAACATGGTTTTCATTTCTCTCATATAAGTTGCCGCTGCATTTTGTAATCCAAAAGGCATAACACGATAACAATATGTACCCCAAGGAGTGATAAAAGATGTTTTTTCTGCATCTTCAACATCCTTAATAATCTGATGGTAGCCCGCATAACAATCCACAAAAGATGCAACCTCATGTTTAGCACAATTATCCAATAAAATATGGATGTTAGGCAAAGGAAAATTATCTTTTGGACTTGCCTTATTCAAATCAAGATAATCAACACACATTCGAACTTTGCCATTTTTATTAGGGACGGGTACGATATTGGCTAACCAAGAAGGATATTGAGAGACTTGAATGAGTTTGGCCTCAAGTTGTTTTGTGATCTCCTCTTTAATTATTACACTCATGTCGGTTTTGAATTTTCTCAACTTCTGCTTTGTCGGAGGAAAATTAGGATCAATTGGCAACTTGTGAACAACCATGTCAGTGCTTAATCCAGGAATGTCATCATAACATGACGCAAAAACATCTTTGTAATCAAACAGGGCCTGGATTATATCATCCTTTTGATGTCAAACATGTACACTTATCTTAGTATCCTTAATAATTTCCTAATCCCCCAAATTTGTCGTCTCAGTTTCACTCATGTTTGGATTTGACTTATTTTCAAAATGATTTAAATCCCTCCTTCTTCAAATACTCTGTCTTCATCATATTCGATTTCTTGACTTATTATTTCAATATTAGGTCGAAGATTAGATTGGATATTAAGATCTGGCGAAAAATTCTGCATGCATGTCATATCACTAGAATCGGCATAGAAAGAACTGTATAAAAGAAAATGAACAAATATATTAGACTGAAATAAACATGAAATTACATCCTATTGAAAATAAAAATAGAATGTTTAAAATAAAACGACAAGATAAAATCCGAATTACAATCCTTGAATGAATCGGATGACAAAATAAAAAATAAGAAAGACTACCAAGCCAAGTCTTTAACGGGGAGAGGATGGCCTCTCAATTGTTTAGATTGACATCAGGACCAATGAATTGCACATCTCTGTCGCTAGTGCCTTATCCTAGTTCCACCATATCAACCTCGACAAATAAATCTTGAAAATAGTTGATCATTTCTTGGCTAACTTTCATCACTGGCTCTGGAAATGATGATTGATAAAATTCGGTTGCGCGGGCTTTTATGAAAGATTTGTAGATTGGTTGTATAGTCTTGGTAAGTTACCATATGTCTCTCTTCTGCTTCTTTGCCTTTATTTTGTCCTCGAATCTAGGTTGGTAGCCTAAGCCAAAAGTACCGATGCTCTTTCGTAGACTCACATGATAAGCTCTTCCTTGCAAGCAGATTCCTAAGCCTTTACCCGTCTAAATCCCATGTTTCAGAAATTCATTCACCACCATTACAGACGCGATGGGAATATTTGGTTTTTAAATGAAACTCCCCTCGGGGACATGCTCAATAACCACTACCTCAGAAGCTTGATAAACTAGTGCCTCATTCTCATTATCTGCCTTGATAAAAAGGAAGGAAGAGTCTTTGTAGATTGACAAATCCCCCTCACCATGAACAATTAACTCTTGTCGGTCCTATTCAAACTTAATCATTTGATGCATCGTTGAGGGGACTGCTCCAGCCCTATGCACGCATGGCCTCCCCAACAATAGGCTGTAGGAAGCGTTGATATCCAACACTTGAAAATTCACAGCGAAATCCAAAGGCCTTATGGTAAGTACGAACTCTATCTCACCAATAACATCTATTTTTGATCCATCAAAAGCTCTAACACATACATTGTTGGGTCGAACCCTGTCAGCACTAACATTCAATTTCTGTAGAGTCGATAAAGGACAAATATTTACTGCAGATCCTCCATCAATTAGAACTCGAGTGACATATGAAAGCTCACGCTTTACTGTGGTATGTAGGCCTTTGTTATGTCCTGTACCTTTTTTGGGTAGTTCATCATATGAAAAGGAGATGCGGTTTACCTCAAATATTCTCCCAGCAATCTTGTCTAACTGACTCACTGTAACATTACTAGGAACATGTGCTTCATTCAAAATTTTCATTAAAGCTTTACGATGTTCATAAGAATGTATTAGCAAAGACAACAAAGATATTTGGGCTAGAGTTTTTATTAATTGTTCCACCACGGAGTAGTCTGATAGTTTCATCTTCCTTAGGAATTCCTCTGCTTCTCCTTTAGTGACCGGACTCTTTATTTCTATTTGGTCATTTTTAGCTTTCCTTAATTCCATCGGGACATGACATCTTCCTGAAAGGTTTATTCCTCCCACTTCATCTATTTCTTCATCAACTTCTTTTCCCTTGTATGTCACGACAGTAGGTTCATAATTCCAGGAAACAACTTTGGGGTTAGTCATTGGGAGCTGGGATACTGGCTTGATAATCACAGGAGAAATATGGGCCCCTTGCACGATCAAGATAGGTTTGTTTGGCCTTTTTGGAACAAACGACTTTTTCTTACTCGGACTTCCCCAAACATCTTCAAGGGCTCCTTTCACAGTTAAGATGGGTGTGTTTCATGGAATAGACTTTTATAACACACTTTCCTCCCCTAAAGGCATCATTTTTGTTAAATCAACAACATTTGCTGACATCTCAATGCCAGTTCCAACCCTAGGGATTTGCTTATACGGAGATGCAAAGTCTTCATGACCCTTCATCATTTCTAGCATGTTTGTTTCTGTATGCCTCGGCAATGGATTTTGATTGATGTTGGGTCCACTCAGACTTTTAACTATAATTCGATTAGAATCGATCAAATCCTAAATGGCCCTTTTCAAATACCAACATCTCTCTATGTTGTGCCCTGGGGCATTAGAATAATATGCGCAATGTTGAGAATAATCCAAATTTCTCGGGGGAGGATTTGACATCTTTCTCATAATAGGACTCAAAACATTCAACATCCTTTTATTTTTGGAACAAGCTAGCATACGACTCCCCAATAGGAGTGAACTTATCTTTAACGCCATTTCCCTTTTGGTATTGTAGTGTAGGACGGAAAGGAATTCTAGCAGTATTTTGATGAACTTGTGGGGGTGGTTGATGATTTTGTGGAGTTGGTGCAAGCCATTGTGGATAAGAAGGGGGTGCAATTGATTGTGCATTAAAAATATCATATGGAGTGTATGGGACACAATATTGTTGATCTTGGGAAGGAAAATAGTGTTGTGAGGAATTACCTTGGACATGAATCATACGTGCTGATACAATAGCGGCCACATCCTCCCATCTATTATTCCCTTCAATATTTTAAGAACCATTTTGAAGCACTCGTGTTGTGGCTTTTAAGGCAGGTTGACTTACAATCTTTCCAGACTTTATGCCATTTTCCACCATTTCCCCTACCTTAATCACTTCAGCGAATGTCTTCCCTACGGCAGAAAGCAGATAGTGAAAGTAATCCGGTTCTTGCGCCTGGAGAAAAACGTCAATCATCTCTAACTCCTTCATCGGAAGTTTAACCCTAGCAACTTGTTCCCTCAATCTGATAGCATATTCACGAAAAATTTTCGTGGTCTTTTTCCTCTTGTTGGCTAACGAGGAGAGATATTGAACAATGTCAATATTATATTGGAATTGTTGTACAAAACATCAAGCTAAATCATCCCATGTGTGCCAGTTGGTGATATCCTGATCTATGAACCATTCAGATGCAATCTCTATTAAGCTTTCCCCAAAATAGGCAATAAGTAACTCTTCTTTACCCT